CTGAGCACTGGTCTCACAGCCAGCTGCACATAGAGACCAGTGTTGTTAGTCCAGGTCAGAAGATGACTTGTTGGAATGAAAATGAGCTTGTAGTTTGTCTGCTTTAATAATGTGACTGGAAAAAGGTGTTGGACTTCAAATATGTCCATTTCTGTCACACTTCACCTTTAAAAGTGAAGCCATGTGGTTCCTGGAAGGAAAAACACGACTTTTTCAAGTCTTTGTCCTGTTTTTATGAGAAATGTACGACTTTAATGTGAAACATTCAGAGTTTTTTCTCTTGTTGTGTTTGTTTGAAGCTGCTTCCTGTTGGCTTCAGCTGTTTGGAGTTTCCATTTTCTAAACTTCTACATTCTGAACCTTCTTCAGCTCTGAACAGATGATGAAACACTGAATGATTTCAAGCACTTTGTCTAATAAACTTACATCTTTCATTCTTTATACAGATTGAGGGACTGTGGTTTGTCAGAGATCAGCTGTGATTATCTGGCAGCAGCACTGAAGTCCAACCCCTCCCATCTGAGAGAGCTGGACCTGAGCTACAACAACAACCTGCAGGATCCAGGAGTGAAGCATCTGTGTGGTTTCCTGGAGAGTCCAGGATGTAAACTTGAAACTCTGAGGTCAGTCAGCATGTTTTAGTTGTGCTGAGATGAATATGATGTGAAAGTTGTGCTGACACTAAACTGCAGACATCAGGCTGATATTATACTGATCCACACTGAGGATCTTCATGGTAAAGTCTGTTTTCTTCTTCTCTGGTTTAGTCCATTGACTGCAGCAGAACAATGTTCACATTTCAAACAGTGATACTCAACGTATGGCCCGCGGCCCACACGCGGCCTGCCCACCTTTCCTGATTCAGAGAGAGGGGACCCTGATTAACTGTGTAGCTTCTTCCTCACAGTTCTAAGTATCAGACACAACAATGAATAATCCACAGCTGACTGTCTTTAGCAGGTCAAAGGTCACGGCACACAGCAGACAGTCAGAAATATTCTAACTCTGATCATTTATCAGTTGTGACACTGTGAGACTTGATCAGAGGTGTGATCATCACAGCAGAGGCCTTTGTGTCAAAGTCACTGAGGATCAAACAGAAACACATGAAGCAGATTTTCCTGTTCTGGCTTTTTATAGCAGATAACCTTCAAAATATTCTGCAGTCCATCAAAAACTGAAGCAAACCATGAATCAACATGTGAACATGAGCTGATGCTGCTGAAGTGAAGCAAAGTTACAGAGGTTTGATTACAGACACAGCTGAGAGTTTGTAATCTGTCATCATTTTAAAAAGTTTCCATGGAACAGCAGAAATGAGGCTTTACTGTCAGAGGCCGACAGCACTGAACACAACAGCAGACTGGTGGCTAATAAACAGTGAATGATGCAGAAACAGATGTTTGAAGCTGTTCTTGGAGTACACTGAGAGAGAGAGAGCTGTGCAGGCAGGAACAGCCAAAGTCAGAGAGAATTCATGAGCATATTTATCAAACGTGAAGCAGAGTTTGGATCTTCTTTTGCTGCTGCTTCACTCAGTTTTGGTTGGAGACAGATGAAACCTGCAGCTTCAGGATCTGTGAGCTGTCCACTTTCAGCCCCGACGGCGTGTCCGTGTACGTGCCGTGGAGTGAACGATCCACGCTCTGTGTTTCCATCTTTGTGTGTTTAGCTGCTCTCATTTACTGTTTTAGCTGTTTGCTGCTTGTTGAAATAGTTTGTGAGCTTTAACCTGAGATTCTGGCAAAATACATTTATATTAAACATCGATTCAGGATTGAATGAATCAACATCGTTTTATTCAAATTAAAACCATTTAAATGGGAACATGAATTTTTTACAGCCGCCTCTAATGCTGGGTAATGTCAGCTGGTCCATGTGCAGCTGGCTGTGAGGCTCAGGGAGCGTCTACAAAGTGCAACACTGAAAGAACATCATCCATAAATATTGAGTAAGAACTGGACTCTCATACAGCGAGACTCAAATGCCTTTAAACATCAGCTTATCCTGCTGATCCAAGTCCAACACTGAGTTTGTAAAAACATGTTTGTCAATCATTTTGTTTGGTTTCTGAGGAAAATGATTCAATAACTTGCTGCTAATACACAACATTTCATCATATTTCCTCATAACCCTCTTTTGTCTGACCATTTGATCCCATTTGAATTTGCAATAAAGGATCCACAGAGTTTGGTGACAATAATGACAGTAGATGTTTGTGTGGAAGTGCTGGAAGCAAATGAGTGTGTGATGTTCTTTCAGTGTTGCACTTTGTAGACGCTCCCTGAGCACTGGTCTCACAGCCAGCTGCACATAGAGACCAGTGTTGTTAGTCCAGGTCAGAAGATGACTTGTTGGAATGAAAATGAGCTTGTAGTTTGTCTGCTTTAATAATGTGACTGGAAAAAGGTGTTGGACTTCAAATATGTCCATTTCTGTCACACTTCACCTTTAAAAGTGAAGCCATGTGGTTCCTGGAAGGAAAAACACGACTTTTTCAAGTCTTTGTCCTGTTTTTATGAGAAATGTACGACTTTAATGTGAAACATTCAGAGTTTTTTCTCTTGTTGTGTTTGTTTGAAGCTGCTTCCTGTTGGCTTCAGCTGTTTGGAGTTTCCATTTTCTAAACTTCTACATTCTGAACCTTCTTCAGCTCTGAACAGATGATGAAACACTGAATGATTTCAAGCACTTTGTCTAATAAACTTACATCTTTCATTCTTTATACAGATTGTGGAGCTGTGGTTTGTCAGAGATCAGCTGTGATTATCTGGCAGCAGCACTGAAGTCCAACCCCTCCCATCTGAGAGAGCTGGACCTGAGAAACAAGCTGCAGGATCCAGGAGTGAAGCATCTGTGTGGTTTCCTGGAGAGTCCAGGATGTGGACTTGAAACTCTGAGGTCAGTCAGCATGTTTTAGTTGTGCTGAGATGAATATGATGTGAAAGTTGTGCTGACACTAAACTGCAGACATCAGGCTGATATTATACTGATCCACACTGAGGATCTTCATGGTAAAGTCTGTTTTCTTCTTCTCTGGTTTAGTCCATTGACTGCAGCAGAACAATGTTCACATTTCAAACCTTCAAAGAAGAAGAAAAATCCTCCACTGGATAATTCACTGTGAAACTCTCCAACTCTTCATTCCACCTTAAAGTCTGTCTGACACTGAAATCCAAAGCAAAATGTGCGTTTGCTTTACAGACAGCAGTCCAACACAAACATACACACATCATCCAAAACACAGTCCAACATCCAAATCTCCTCCACTGCCAGCATGAATGATGGGAAAGAGAAGGAGGAACACTCTGACATTCAGGGTTAGAATGAGTTTCATGAAGCAGACTGTGAAGATCAAAGCTGCATTAGAAAGCTTACATGAATGAATGAGTGGACAGAAGTGGACAGAGATCATCTGAAGCACTTCAAAGGCTTTAAATCAGCACATTTCTCTTTATTCTTTATCAACTCTGTTAGTTTCTCTCAGTTTTCTGTGGAATGAAGCTAACAGCAGGCTAATAAGGAGCGTCTACAAAGTGCAACACTGAAAGAACATCACACACTCATTTGCTTCCAGCACTTTCACACAAACATCTACTGTCATTATTGTCACCAAACTCTGTGGATCCTTTATTGCAAATTCAAATGGGATCAAATGGTCAGACAAAAGAGGGTTATGAGGAAATATGATGAAATGTTGTTTATTAGCAGCAACTTATTGAATCATTTTCCTCAGAAACCAACTATCGAGGAAAACATCTTATTTTACTGTCACTATATATCATTCATAAAGCACCGTCATTATTTCATTGTTACTTCATTAGTCTGTATTACTTATCATCAGTTTATCATGTATCATTTATCATTTATTTCAGAGCACGCAGGATAAAACCTATTCTAGAAGTAATACTCTATGATGTGGCGAAAACACAAGCAGAAGCTGTGGGTCCAGTCAGGCCCCAGTAAACTCATATGAGGACACGGTGAACTTTTGTTGGCCGGAAACGGACACTCTCACACCACTACACATTCTACACACTATTGGTTAAGTTCCCAGAAACCCGGAGTCGAAACATCTGGAACATGTTGTTGTTCTTAGCCATAGAAGGACATAGAAGTGATAACTGACTGATACTTATCATGTGACTTGACGTCATCATTGCAATAAAAACCTAGTGAAGAGACTGTTCGGGGGAGATCGGCTCTTAAAGGCCTGTGAGGCTCATCTTCCCCTTATGTACATATGTATAATAAAAATCACTATTTTGACATCTACTGAGAGACCATGCAGTCGTTTGTCTTCTCCTCAAAAACTCGAATCATGACATTTTTGGTGCCGAAACACCGGTTTGAGGAGGAAAGTAATGGAGCTTGGCTGACGGTCTAGTGGTGTCAGACGGACAGCCAGGAGGTCGACTGAGTGATGGGCCCCGGAATAGGAGAGGTAAGCACCACCTGTTGATGGATCTCCAAAGATGCTGAATTGGAAATCAAGGTAAATTAAAGGTTCACTCAGTGGAGCTTCTGTTCTGTCCGTGGTGATTTTGGGGTAATTAGTGTTAAAAGCAGGGAATATAGCCCTGACTAAGTGTATTGCTGTTTATTCTGGGAGTGAACTTTTGAGTTAAGAGGTTATGTGTTGAAGACAATACGGTTTAAAGTGTTTAAAGTGATGTAGGTTGACTGGAGCCAGCCAGTCAATCGGTAGTTTATGGAATTTGGTTTTATTGATCAGCAGAAACGCGGTTTCGGGCGTCAGATAATTAAACTGGAGGCGGAGACCTCGCAGTGATGCTTATAATATATTGAGTAAATTGTTTAGGACGGGGGCGGGGTCCCCTAAGAGCGCAGTTGCTCAGCGCCGTGGCGGCGACTCCTGATCGTGGACGCATGGTCAGGTTATTAGCTCGGTTGGTTGCCGGGGAATTTCGGGCATCCCAAAGAACCAAAGTGGTCGACGGAGATCACTTTCCTTACTGCGCTAGATTGATTGACAGAGTCAGACTCGACTGCCCCGTCGGGGACTTGTGAACTTTAAGTAAAGCGAAGAGCGTGATCTGGGATATTTCACGCTCCAGGTGGAGTTCCTGGTTTTTTGCCCGGCGGGGGAGTAGTTATAAATTAATTAGGGCTTAGGAATCTGAGCGCTTTTCGGGGGGGCGTCCTCGACGCGTTTAATTGATCAGCAAGGCGCGGCCTGGGCTGAAAGAATGCTTTTAAATTAGTCAAAAGTTAGGTGTAATGCTATAGAGGTTGTGAAGAAAATAAGAAGTTACAGGAATAAGGACAAGAAGAAGTGAAATAAAGAAGATAAGCTGTTCTGGCATACGGTGTTATCTTATGTCTATGCGGGCCCGTGTGTAAATAGAATATATATTACGTGTGTGTGTAAATAAAGTGTAAATAAGTTCTATAAACTGTCATCCTGTTAAACCTGAAACTTCCTCTCTACAAACTCTTTTCTTTTCTCTCCCTCTTTCTCTCAGAAGGGATTGTGTGTGTGTATGTGTGCTGGAGAAAAAAGGAAAAAGCCTCTCTGTCTCAAGCAGCTGCAAGAAGGGGGGCCTGTAACCCCGCAGTGTGAGGAGAGAAGGAGAGAGGGGGCCAGCGTGCGTCCGTTTAATATCGAAGAAAGTGCAGAAGCTGTTTTTTCTGTTTCTTTAAGGTTAAATGGGCATGAAGCGAATGGAGGTTTTAAGACAAGAAATGGAAATCATATTAATGCTATGCTTTAGTGTGCCAATACAGGTTACAGATGAATAAAGGTGGACTTCTCTCAACCTGGAATTTTGAGTACGGTGCCAAAACCAGTAGAGTAGTATAATTGGGAGAAAACAGGCCAGATTTTGGCTTAAAATTTTACAGCTTGACCTGGCACTTGTCCCGATCCTGAGAAGAAGCTCAAAGGACAATTAATCTCCTGATGAAGACCAATAGAACATCGTGACCACTTGAGAAGAATTTACAAGCAGCCAAAAGACAGTGCAACTGAACTGTTGACCCTGAAATCAAACTGACATGCACTCTGAGTTACAGGCTGGACAGTCGAACGGTGGGAAAGCACTGGACACTGATTGTCAGATTTGCCATGCTTGGAGTAATCGTGAAAGAGACGATTGAATGAAAGCATCAACAGAGAAGAAGAAACCACGTGATGGGAAATGCACGGTGGACTGCAGGCTGGTAAGAACAGTGTGACATCACACTGAATGTGATATTTTGCCAGGCTGGGACTTAATCCAGAAGGAAGATACTGAAGAGAAACAGAGAGGAAACGAACTGTGTTTGTTGGTGAATTCAGGACCACAGATGGACACTGAGAGAAGAGGACGGAACCAGTGAGAGGTGAAGCTTGACTGTAAGAATACAGGGTATAACTAGATTGAAACGAAAGTCTGAACTCATGATGGTGTTTAGAGATGTCCACCAGAAAACTAAAAGAGGTAAACAAAAGAAGATAAAATAAAGAAAGACAATAACTGACAATTACATGAGTGAATGGAAAACACACATACACAAAGTGTTACATGTGCAATTATGTTCTTATAGAGAATCAGAAGGGAGATAGTTTTAAATTAAGAAATCAGTGACACGATGCATGAATTAATTCTGACTGTAACATATGGAGGCAATGAAGAAAGCAGCTTACACGCACTGAACATTAACAAAAATACATAGGAACAGCAATGAAGACCTGCTTACACGTATACACATGACATAAGCTGGTATTGCTGACCAGAGAAGGGAACCTGGTAGTTTAAGTCCTCATGACAGTAATAAAATGTCTCAGTTGTGTTTCTACAGGAGGAAAATAAACAGAACTGGATCAATTCTCCACGTGCAGCAGTCGGAAGAAAAACCTATGGGTTAATTTGACTGGATCTGATAAGGCAAGTTTCTGGTTGAATTGTTCACAGCGCCATGTCTCTATAAACCTGACAAGTGGGCCCTAACTTCTGGCAGAGGACCAGGAATGCTGTTAATAAGGTGGGAACTTAAAAATTTGGGTTAGCAAATTTGGGGAAAGAAAACTGACGGCTTAAGTGGAGAATTATGAAGGAGTCTGACACGCTGCAAAAACAACATATGCAAATTTACCTACACAAGCAGAAAATGCATTAACCTTACAATCATAATGATTAATGCATAGACATCGATTAAACCTGGCTAAGAACATAAACATACGCAATAAAAACAGCTTGCTGTTTGTATGAGTGATAGAATGGTGTGAATGGTTAATAAAAAACATTTGAGTATGTCGAATCTAGGCATGTTAAAGTGCATAAAGGGGGTGATTGTTGTGTGCAAATTATGTGGTTTTAACTAGACTTTCGGTGTATTGAGGAGGTGGAATTATGTGGTGACAATACTTGTGTGTTTGAGGTTGTAGTGGTGATGGGCTGATCCTGTCAGCTAGGGTGGAATTGTTTTTGTTTTTAATAGAGGGAGTTTTAGGAAACATGGACATGTTTGAGAGGGGCCCATTATTTTTGTAACAGTGCACTCAAAAAACCTGTCAGGTGATTTTGTTTGTGTTTTCATGAGCCAATAATCAGCTTTCTTTTTCTCATTTTTGTTCTAAGCAGGCCTGCAACAGTGAATAACAGCGCAAATTCTTGGGAAGAGCAAATATAAGGTGGCTTTCCAGATTACAACTGGCTGAGGAGAAAGCTACCTGGGGGGATCTGATCAGGTCGTACGTCCCTGTCTAAAGGATTGTCGCGATTCAATCCAGTCCAAAACATAAGGAAATATTTTCCTAGGCTCCACTGTTAGCGAAATATGGTGTGACTACATGTGAATAAATGTGGACAAACAATTTGCTTTTACTAGAGAAAGTTTCTGTTTTATTGAGTGGGGTTATATTATGGGATTATAGGATATTGTTGGGAGAATCCCAAATGCTAACGGGGGTAGGTGTCAAAATAAAGGAAATGTGCCAAATGTTAAAGGGGAAAATTAGTGAGGGTTGAAGAAGGAGAATAGGTTTGATTTCTTTTTAATTTCCAGAAGTAGTGGCTATAATGTATATAGTATAATGTATATAATAATACACATACAGTTATTACATAGATTTATTTTTGGGATAAAGGGGA